TGAGAACTCAGACCAACGGAGTATTTGCATGGGCCACTGTACGTACGTGGAACTTGGGAAGATCAGGTGGCACATACTAGGGTTATGTGAAGTCCGAAGAGAGGGGGAGGACACGATAACTCTCAAATCAGGCCACCTGATGTACTTCCGTGAGGGAGACCAAAAATCCCAAGGTGGCGTTGGGTTTCTGGTTAACAAGTCCCTATCTAACAATGTTGTGGAAATGTCGAGTGTGTCGAACAGGGTGGCGTACCTCATTATAAAGCTCACCGAGAGGTATAGCCTTAAGGTGGTCCAAGTGTACGCACCGACCTCGGCACACTCCGATGATGAGGTGGAGGAGATGTTCGATGATATATCGAGGGCCCTCCACTCCACCACTAGGACTCACTTCAACATTGTTATGGGGGACTTTAACGCCAAAGTGGGAGTACAAAATTGCAGTGAATCGGTAGTAGGATCCCATGGGTATGGAAACAGGAATCATAGGGGGCAAATGCTCGTCAATTTCCTCGAACGGGAGGGGATGTTCTTAATGAATTCATTCTTTAAGAAGCAGCCCCAAAGGAAGTGGACGTGGCAAAGCCCCGACACTATGACAAAGAACGAGATCGACTTCATCATGGCGGACAAAAGGCACATATTCAGAGACGTCTCCGTGATTAATAGGTTTAATACCGGTAGCGATCACCGACTCGTCCGAGGCTCTCTGAATATCGACTTCAGAGCCGAACGAGTCCGCTTGATGAAGGCCAGGCTCCGACCAACCCTGTTTCAAATCAAAATGGGATCTGAAGCGTTTCAGTTAAACCTGGAGAACCGATTTGCTGCCCTGGAAACCACAACCGACGTTAACCGGAACCTTGAAAACGTGGTTCGAGTTCTCAGGGAAGAAGGTACGAGATTCTGTGAAATGCAGCGTAAGGGCAAGAAGTCGAAGCTTTCGGAAGAGACTTTAGGGCTTATGAAGAGACGACGTGAAAACCCACCCGTCACTTCGTCAGAGAAGCGGGCTCTAAACCGAGAGATTAGCAAACACGTGCGACACGATCTCCGGTGCTCGAATACCCTTGCAATCGAGAGAGCGATCGAGCAAAACCGGGGGCCAAAAGTGTTCGTACAATCTCTTGGAAGAAGCCACCTGACGAAGTTGACCACAGCAAGTGGAGAAGTCGTTGTCTCGAAGCCGGCAGTTCTTTCGGAAGTAGAAAACTTCTACGGCCGGTTATACGCTTCGCATGCATCTCGACCTGACCCCGGAAATGAGGACTCTAGAGCCACTTTAATACGCCATTACACCGAAGACCTGCCAGAAGTCAGCATTGACGAAATCGAGATCGCTCTTGGACAGCTTAAAAATGGAAAAGCCCCTGGAGAGGATGGCGTTACGACAGAGCTTCTAAAAGCAGGCAGCAAACCGGTACTCAGGGAGCTGCAAAAGCTATTTAACGCTGTCCTGTTTGAAGGGAGAACTCCAGAGGCGTGGAGTCGGAGTGTGGTCGTCTTATTCTTCAAAAAGGGTGACAAAACCCTACTGAAGAATTATCGACCCATTTCCCTTTTAAGCCACGTCTATAAGCTGTTCTCGAGAGTGATCACGAACCGCCTTGCGCGAAGACTTGACGAATTCCAACCACCGGAGCAGGCTGGGTTTCGGAGCGGATACGGCACCATAGACCACATCCACACAGTGCGGCAGATTATACAGAAGACTGAGGAGTATAATCAGCCCCTGTGCCTAGCATTTGTGGACTATGAGAAAGCCTTTGACTCGGTCGAAATCTGGGCTGTTCTGGAGTCCCTGCAGCGATGCCAAGTAGATTGGCGATACATCCAAGTGATGAGATGTCTCTACGAGGCCGCCACCATGTCCGTCCAAGTACAGGATCAGCAAACAAGGCCGATACCGTTGCATCGAGGTGTGAGACAAGGGGATGTTATCTCCCCGAAATTGTTCACAAATGCAATGGAGGATATGTTCAAGACGCTGAACTGGAAAGGACGCGGCATCAACATAAATGGCGAGTACATCTCTCACTTGCGATTTGCAGACGACATCGTCATCGTAGCAGAAACGCTGCAGGACCTACAACGGATGCTGAATGACCTGGCTGACTCTTCTATACGCATCGGCCTACGGATGAACTTGGATAAAACCAAGGTCATGTTCAATGAACATGTACTACCGGAACCGATTGCAGTACACGGCGCTGTTCTCGAAGTCGTTCAAAAATATGTATACCTCGGGCAGACATTGCAGATGGGTAGAAACAACTTCGAGAACGAGGTGAATAGAAGAATTCAGCTAGGTTGGGCAGCATATGGAAAGCTGCGTCAAGTCTTCACGTCGTCGATCCCACAGTGCCTAAAGACGAAAGTCTTCAATCAGTGCGTCCTACCTGTCATGACATACGGAGCCGAAACGTGGACACTGACGGTGCGGCTGGTTCACAAGCTAAAAGTCACTCAGCGAGCTATGGAGAGGGCTATGCTCGGCGTTTCTCTGCGAGATCGAATCAGAAACGAGGTGATCCGGCAGAGAACCAAGGTAATCGACATAGCCCACCGGATTAGCAAGCTGAAATGGCAGTGGGCTGGCCATATTAGCCGAAGAACCGATGACCGTTGGAGTAGACGAGTTCTTGAGTGGAGACCGCGTCTCGGCAAACGTAATGTAGGACGTCCTCAGGCAAGGTGGAGTGATGATTTGCGCAAGATGGCTGGCAGGAGCTGGATGCGAGTGGCCGAAGATCGATCCCAGTGGCGTGCAATAGGAGAGGCCTATGTCCAGCAGTGGACTGAAAAGGGCTGATGATGATGATGATGATGACTGTACGTGCCTCTGGTACAGCCAATAAGGGATGTTGACGCGGCCGAAGTTGGTGTGTAAGCAGCCTGGGTACTGATAACCGCACCACCTGTTCTACTATCTCTGGACAGTCAGATTCACCACACAGCGTCTTACAGCTCATAATCATTAAGAAAATCAAATCCTTTATAAGGGGACACGTTCGATCCTTTCTCCTGCCAACAGGTAGGTAAGTGCGACTCAACCAACGGACTAGACTTTACGGCGTTGTCTTTTCGTCCACCAGATAGCTGAACGTACTAAAGCCTCAAAATATCTCGGCAGACAGACCTATAACGTAAATTGTACGTATCATGTGCTACATAATGGCCGAAATATGTAGGTATACCTAAGTATTACTTGTACGTGGCAGTTGCTGTCAAATGTATGAAATCAAGTTGTTCTTCTATCGCGACACTGCTCACCACGTTACAGTAAAATACAACTCGTGTTATTTTTATATTGGCTTATTGTGGTAAAGTCAGTCGAACAACAGGTCATTGTTTCAGATTCCAGGTAATCATACCATACATAAAAAAATCTGTAAAAAAGTTAAAAGAGGAACTAAAAACGGACTAATGATATTCATTAGAGTTAGTGCCGCTTCTCGATAGGGTTTGCACATGACCATTTTCGCCCGTGTCGTCGGCCCATCGCAGAAAACTTCTGAGAGCCGAGACAGTTTCTGTCAGATCAGGGACTTACTAAATATTATACGTAAAACTGAGCGTATAAAACGTACACGGCACAGGCAGCGAGGCGATGCTTCACATGGGTGTCCACGTACTTCTAAAGCTAATGATGAAAGGGTATCTATTCCTCAATATCCCCTACTTTCCTAAAATGATATAAAATAATCTTCTACCCTTAGTATGAGTTTTGACAGCAAAGGGTAATTGTAATAAATACATCACAAATCTTGTTGATTTATAAGTTATAAGCTAACTTACACTTTTTGCGATACATTTTTACTTTGGTATTTTGTTGTTTACCTATCAACACACATACCTAAATATATTTTAGGATGGATTAAGCCAGTTTTTGTGCGACTTGGGCTTATTAATATATTTAAAGATTTGTATGTTCGTTTCCGTTCACGGGATCACAGAATCCCGGACCTTTGGAACGCGTAGGTACGAGGGGCCGAAGCCAACTCGCAGAGGCCTGTTGAACAACTTTAATATAAGTGAAATGGGACATCAGCCGGCAATTATCCCTGTATGCACTATGAAAGTGCACCCAATGATAATCCCCGGTTGATGCAGGACTATTGCGAAACGTGGTAATAATTGAAAGGGTTATGGGTATGGGTTGCTATCTGCTATATGATAACTATGGAACTACTATGGCCCCTGCCTCTAACAAATATTGATACATACGGATAAACAGGCAGGGGGTGACTGACAAACTCAATTAATGGCCCCCCGGAAACGGCCGCTAGCATGTAGCGACACGGAGGCAACATACGTTGAGCTGTTTGGGGAAGGAGAGGCATCCCACGGCTATCAGAGCAATCCCGGAAGTACGGTCAAGACCCCTACCAGCACCTTACTGAGATACACCCTTCCCCCGAGTCTCCTTCAACTCTTACTCTTGCGAATCTCCACTCAAGCCAGCCAATTAAGGCAAGAATGAGGTAGGAGGGCTTGTTCTTCATCAGTTTTCAGTCCAGCTCGTCACCAGGACTAACCGGAGCTGAAGAACAAGACATCTCCCGGGAGTCAGGTCCGTGGGGTCGCCACTGCCCAACAGCTCGCCACAAGCTGCCTTGCGGATTATTTATTATTTAAAGATTTAAGATTATTATTATAGTATTTATTTTAGATAAGACAGGAGAGGATCGAGCTTCCAATAAACTCAATCATACGGCGAAACACAAAAGTAGTGCTTTATGTTTTCCGTGAAGCCGTGGTATCAATTTGGTCGAGCCGGCCCATTCCTGCCGGCCGAAGCATGGCTCTTCCATACCTTATTACGATAAATCGAACGGAAACAAAGCAAACGAAATCCTCACATTATATTTCAAATCAACGAGAGCAACCTAAGCTAGGTAAAAAATAAATAATATATTAATAAATGACTTTGTCAGAATCTGTGCGCGCCAGTCGCGCTGACACCTGACAGCTTCTCAGTATATATTGTATAGTCTATGTGACAGCTGACCGGTTGACAGCACTAAAACACTTGCATTTATTTACTTTTATTTGACTGTTGTGAGATCTTTCTGGTAAATTGGCAATTTTTAAGTGAAGCAGATTATTAAAGATAAATTTATTTTAAGTAATTGATTTCGTGTTGAAACTGTTTCGGAAGTATCAAGTGTACTGCTTGCTTATGAATAACTTGATTAAATAAACAATTTAAATACAAAAGTGCAGCACAAAGTTTATAACAATGTTATTTATTTTTATAATATGTATTTTTCAACCGGTCTTAACATCCAAAGAATCTGGCTGTGGATGTAACATTAATCGTGGGAAGGATGGAAGTTTAAATGAAGAGAATTTGATTAATTCTAATGATATTGAACACTGTCCTTTTGAGGATGAAAACAAAGCTAGTAAGTATCTCAACACTGAACAAATGAACACATTAGATGAGATGGTATTAGTGCCAGCCGGAGATTATCAAGTGGGTACAGATGACATAGCAATAGAAAGCGACCAAGAAGGCCCAAAAAGAATAGTGAAACTAGAAAGTTTTTATTTGGATAAATATGAGGTATCTAATAAGAATTATGCTAATTTTATAAGTGAAACTAATTATAAGACTGAAGCTGAACAATTTGGAGATAGTTTTGTATTCTCAGCATTTCTGAATAATACATTTAAAGAGCAATTAAAGGATTTCCGTGCTGTGCAAGCCATGTGGTGGTATAAAGTACTTGGTGCTGACTGGAAACATCCACATGGCCCTGATTCTGACATTCAAGGTATACTTTAACTACTGTATTATTAAATAGCCCCATTTTTCCTCCTGTGCAATTATGTTAGATAATTATTTTGAGTTTGTGAATGTGTCATTTTTATGTTTCACAAAATAAAATGAATAATAAAATGTTCAAAAAGAGTCATAAGTTTTACAAGCTGATCAGTAATTTCAAGATCATATAAGCTATATAAATAAGTAAAAATATCATTAGCACATCATAAATTATGATAGTAGCTATCCTTTATTATTTTACATAAGAAATTGTTATAACTGCCTGAGCTGATTGGCTTGAAAACAAAATTTTGTTCATTTATGTTTTAAAGTTAAATCCAAAAATCTTTAAAGGAAAATTTGACCAAAACTAAGTGGATGCAATAAAAAAATAAAATATTTTATTTAGATATAATGGACCATCCAGTTATACATGTATCTTGGAATGATGCTCGCGCCTACTGCAAATGGAAGGGAGCTCGGTTACCAACAGAGGCTGAATGGGAGGCAGCATGTCGGGGTGGCCATCGTGATACCAAGTACCCCTGGGGAGATAAGCTATTCCCTGAGAGAAAACACATGTTAGTTCTACACTATGTAAATTATTTAATACTTCATTGGTTGAGTTTTGAGCAATAGATTCTCAGTTAAGATTCCCGGGACAAGTGTCGACATTTTCAGTTTTTAAAAATTTCCAGAAGTGAGCTCTAAGTTTGGCGGTTTTCCATGATATGAAAAATAATGGCAATACTATGACTACTATTTAAAATATATGTGCAGCCCCTCTATGTACACCTGCATAGAATAAAAAGTCGTAAGGATTTGTGACCTTATGAAAGGTTCTTCGAATCAAATCAAACTTAATTTACAAATTCTAAGCCTTTAATTATGTTTTTCTATTTTTCAGGGCTAATATTTGGCAAGGCACATTCCCCACACACAATTCCGCTAAAGATGGCTATGTGGGCACATGTCCAGTAGACATGTTTCCGCCAAATGATTTTGGGTTATACAATATGGCTGGTAATGTGTGGGAGTGGACAGAAGACTCATGGGCTGGAAAAAACGTAATTATTCTATTCCACTGTCTTAACTTTCAAATTGTGATTTAGTAACAGTTTTTGTTGTGATCTACAAACTACTTTTCAATGTTAGTAGGGGTGTCTTTCGTTTCATTTTTGTAAAACTAGTTGCAAAAAAGTTTAAGAGCTATTCCCATGTTCCATTATGTTAATATTTACTTTTTATCTTTTCAGCCAAAAGAAAAGGTGAAAAAGGGTGGTTCTTATTTGTGCCACCTATCTTACTGCTATCGTTATAGATGCTCATCAAGATCTCATAACACAGAAGACAGCTCTGCAGGAAACCTTGGATTCCGCTGTGCTAAGTCTGCTTAATCAGTGTTCCTTTATATACAACAAAATGATACAGGGGCCAGTAGCTGAACTTCCCCAAACAGTCTTTCCTTTTAATTTGGACTTAACCCCTATTGCAGAGGAATAAAGTTGAGTATTTAGTAAATGAACTTGTCAGAAAGGAGAAGCTCAACCTGTTTGCGACTGGATATAGACAGATAAGTCTTAATTTACTTAGGTATATTCTTATTTTTTATACCTATTTAATATGGTTTTTTCCAATTACTATTATTATTATTACTATTATTATTATTTATATACTTGGACACGACAATATGAAGAACAAATGAATTGCTGAACAAATTGTTATACTGCATTGTATTGTTTTGATTTTGTTATTTTTTTTTAAATTGTATACATTATTTAAGAAATAATATTGAGTTTTGATTCCTCAAAACACCACTAACAATAACAACACCCGTTTCATGATCTTTTGTTGGAATTTCGAATTTTAAATTATTCGCAGTAGGGAATGGTAAATAAAAGGTTTCCAGTAATATTACACTTATATTTTAATTGCATATTTTTGTATAAAAATTACAATAGGTACATAAATTGATTTCTATATGATTAATGAAACAAAATTTATATTTACAAAATGGTGAGCTTCAGCTGCATGGCTGCTAACAAAAGCAGAATATTCGGAGTACAAAAAGCACCTTTAATTTTGGTAAGTACAAAACAAAACGGAAGACTAAAAAGGAAGTTTGAAAGCTACTGCTATAAAACCCGTTATCGATTTGATCTAATATACATAATTTTGGTATAAATAAAAGATAAATTAAACAAAATAAATAACCAACACAACCACTTTAGTGTCATAGTAATCTAAACCTAAATTGAACATTCGGTCGAAATTAAAATACAGTTTGTTGTACTTAAAATAGAAAAAAATAATAATCACGTCAATATGAACAACAATAAAAAGTTGTCATCGAAATATTAACACCTGTGTTATAAAATACACAAAAAGGCAAACGGCGTTGATAAATCATCTTGTATATTTAAATTGTTGGCATCCGCCAAAAGGTATAAAAACCTATTTTGATCTAATCGTGAATAAGCCTTGATAATCATGAGCTTGTAAAAATACTGATCAATACTTAAAACTAAACACTGATTCTTATTAACATTTTAGCACTACAATCAAAGCTATTATTTCCTATTTAAGACTATTCCAATGAACATTTTCGCTGCCATAACTTTAAGCATTTAACACCAGGTTTCTGAAAGTCTTGTCAACACTAAATTTAACTAATCTCTTGTCAAGTCATCTGATTGTTTGTTGATAATTCAGTCTACCAATCAGAAGACTTGACAAGAGATTAAATTGATTTTAACATTGATCGCGGCCTTTCGGAAACCGGGTGCAAGCATTCTATAAAATGTACGGAACTATATTAACATGCTATATATTATTGCGTTTCACACTGTTATTAGTGTATAATTTTAAAATAACCAAATTAGATAAAGATTTAAAATGTAACATAATTTATATATAAACATTTGATAAAATAATATGGCCATGTTTTCAATCAATTGTACTATCAGTGTCATAAGTGCATGGATGATTCCAAATCAAAATCGTTTGTACGGCATTTCATCGCCTTAATTATATACCATGGATGACATAGATGGCGCTAGTATACTAGTGGTATGGAAAAATATACATTTATAGTTTTTATCAGATACAAAGTTATTAAATTAATAATTTTTTATACAAATTAATGCTACGATATTCCAAACCTTTTTAAAGCAAAGCACGCAATAACCAGGATTCGAACTCGGTAGCATAAAATTAACCGATGCCACTAGCCATTAGGCCATTGCGTAACCTTGAAATGTATTGAAATTATCCTACTGTTTATTATATTGAAGTTGTTTAGCAACTTTAACCCGATCATAAATCTCAACACAGTTGAGGGTAATTTAATATTAACTATAAAAATTAAACCTTTTTGTTCAATCATAACATTCTTTACTATCTTTGAGTGAGTTCAGTCACGATTTGTTTTACAAGTTTTTAATATTTATTTTTATTATGAGTTTGCATTCAAATATTGATATGGCTACGAGGGCCCAAATAATAGCACTGCATAATCAAAGCTTAAATTATACTGGAATTTCTAGAGAAGCTGACTTAAACGTAAGTATTCTTTTAAAATGACCGTTTGTTATTTATTTTATTATCCATGGTTATCGATACATGAAAATAATAAATAATACACGCCCTTACAGGTAAAGACTGCCACTTTATGGATATTTAAAGCTGTTTCAAGAAGAGGTTTCATTGGAGCACCGTAGTGGATCTGGCAGAAGACGTGATATTGACTCAGACCAGCTTCAACTTATGGGGCAAGGTTATGAGGAAAATTACTGGAGAATTGTCATCTTCAGTGATGCAAACAGTGAAAACTACATAGATGTGCTGAAAGACGTCATGAAGATGTGCTAGTGATAACGTTCGTGCAGGACAATAAAATTGTCCTATGTGTAATGTTCCATAATTGTGCAAGTGTTTAGTCAGCAATCAGACATACGGATTATTCCTTGCCCAGCGAGATAGGAGAAATAGGATCGATAAAAATGGCGGCTACACTAGTTCTTAAAAGAAAAGATATTGTTCACTATAGGATTAAGCAATTACAACCCCGGGGTAGCTATAATTTATTTAATGGATAAATGTTCAAACTTAATATTAGTAGGATAAATTTATTGACTACTTTATAACCAGCAACTGTTATACAGTAATGATTTTAATGTTTTACTAAATATGAGAAATAAAAATAAAAGCAATATTAATATCTACAGATGCTATTGATTGCAAAATAATAAATTATTTATTTATCAATTACTATAAACAATTCGTCTCATATCTAGTGAATGCTATATCCCGGTATTAGATATGTTATTGATTTAAGGTCTAGCTTCAATTTCTTCCTTGTTCTGGAACGAATACTTAAGCTATGAGCCTTTGTCATAACATGATGCACAAAATGAATCACTTTAGTCAATACTTTAATTAAATTTTATGGGGAGGTAAAATAGTTGCAGAAGTAAGGTTGCATATCATATAGAATCGTATTATAACATTGTGTTTAAAACTAACTAATAAATGACTAGCACAACACAATTTTGATTTAAAATACTTATTAATCTTATAAAAAGTGTAATAAATAATGTGTCAGTTAGCTGAAAAGTCAAAGTTAGGGTATACCTACACTATATAAGAAAGAAATAAATATTATGTTTTAAGAAATAAACGTCTGAAATTATAATGTCACTAAAATAGTTTTATTTGTTATCCTTTAAACTTAGTATTAGTCTTAATCTGTAAGAAAAATATGTTACTTTTACATTAATAGTTAGCACATATTAGAAAAGTTATTTATATATATTTATTAATATAATTTTATTCTAAAATAATATATATATGTCGGAGAAGCATTGTCATCGCTGACATTGTCATTAGTGGTTGCAGGTTTAGTGGGCGTCATGAGGGTAGAATGCGAGCACAAAACACAATAATCACAATAAACACTATTTTAATTTAGATTATAACAATAGTTTTGTCTGTTTCACAATAACGCAAAAGAAAGTCGATAATTAGGACTGAGCAGCGGGTTCAGGGCACCAATCTTACAGTTATTACATAAACGATCCAACTCGACCGATTTTCTAATGCTCTCTGTTCCCGCCAAAAACTGTTCACCTTTTATACGTAAGATGGCGCCTCGACCCCGCTCGAGGCACGTGCTCTGCTCTGATTGGTTACATAGGAAGTCAAATTCTAGTTTTAAAATTATAATAAAAAAAATAAAATAAAAATTAAATTAAGACTATGAAAAGTAACAAAACTATTTAAATTAATTAAACCTTTTTTTTAAAAGTGAATATAACATAAACAAAAATTAATGTGCGTAACAATCAACTGCAATGCAAGTAACAATCAACTCCTAGCTTCCTCCGACACGGCCGTCCTGACGTATTACACGTCCTCGTGTGATGTGGAAGGCCGCGCATCATCTGCAGGAGAGAAAGAAACTCTTCAAAATAAAGTTCGGCCACTCCTGACTAAGGAAATCGTGTACATTAATATAGTTTGTCTCCTACACAATAACGCTTCAGAATTGCTTTAAATTGATGCCTCATAATAAGCAAAAGCCTTTCTTTCTTTACTTTTTAGTAGCGAAAAAGCCAACTCGCCATTTTCGCGTTTCGGATATTTAACAATATTTAACATGGCCATCTCACTAATGTTGTGCCGATTGCAATCTTAAACCGCCACCTCGATTTACAATGGCCACCTCGCCTTTCAACGGCCACCTCGCCTTTCAACGGCAACCTCGCCTTTTAATGGCCACCTCGCCTTTCAATGGCCACCTCGCCTTTTAATGGCCACCTCGCCTTTCAATGGCCACCTCGCCTTTCAATGGCCACCTCGCCTTTTAATGGCCACCTCGCCTTTCAATGGCCACCTCGCCTTTCAATGGCCACCTCGCCTTTTAACATAGATAACATAACTTTAATGTCCACCACACACTGTTAGGATATTCCAAAAGAAACTAGCAGTGATACATACACACACATTCTGATAACAAATCATTTTAAATAAAAGAAAGTTAGTGTAAAGGTCGTACCATCATTATCATCCGACAGGCACGGATCCAGCTTCACTGAGAGTTTTAAGTACTACACGTAACCGTTACAGACCTTGTTCTACATTATTCGCGGGTATGACGAGATCGTCCATATAGACAATTGCATAGGAGTGCGCTAAGTCACCTAAAGCAGTATTAATAGCTCTCTGATACACAGAGGGGGCATTTCGCAAGCCAAACGGCATGGCCGTAAACTCATAATGAGCGTCTGGAGTAATAAAAGCGGTTTTTTCTATCGAATTCGATTCTACATTTATAGGAATCTGATAAAATCCACTAGCCATATCAAGACATGTGTAAAATCGCGCGCCTGATAATCTTTGAACTTGATCGCCGATAAGAGGTAAGGGGTACCGGTCGGGAACCGTATTAGAGTTTAACTCTCGGTAATCTACGCACATTCTGTCCGTACCATCGCGCTTCTTCACTAAGAGTATTGGGCTAGAGAAGGGCGACTTGCTTGGTCTTATAACTCCAGCAGATAGTAGTTCACTACACTTATTACGTACTATTTGTCGCTCTTCAGGGCTCAAGTGATATGGCCGCCGTTGCACGATTTTAGTAGGATCTACTAAATTATTTCCAGTTCACCTGTCTTTACTCTACTAGCAGGCGTGCCTTCAACGAATGAGTTCTTAAAGCCGCTAAGAAGTTCTATTAGTTTTGGTTTAAAATCATCAGGTATATCAGTATCTATGTCATGAAAATCAGCCACCGAATTACCTATATTGCACATATTAACTAAAGAAGCCTTCTCAACTATAGTGAGTTTATCACTCGATATGTGAACTGATAATCCTAAAGCTAACAAATCGCGACCTATCAAAATATCGTTTTTTAAGTAGTCGTCGGGTATAATGTGAAATAAAATTTGTACGTCATGACCACAAAGGGTGACCTCCGATAACAATTGAGAGTCACATGTTACACTACATTTTCCTACCCCAGTCCAAGTAACAATTGCACGCTGCAATGTACCGACAAGCTTACGAGAGACGCTCTCTTTGATCAAAGAAAAATCAGCACCGGAATCGAAACAAAATGAAAACTTCTCACCAAATTGCGTAATTATCCCGGTGACAGGTTCCATATTGCATACGTCCACTCGCTTTACAACGCTAGAAGCACTTGTAGCGGGTTGTGCGCTGCTGCTCACAACTGGCCATGTCTTGGGACATCGTGATGCAACGTGACCTTCGACACCACACTTGTAGCAAGTCACAGGGGCCCGCAAAGTAACGGACGTGCCGGGGCGTTCGGAGGTCGGAGTCGGTTGCTGCTTGTCATGTGATCGGCTGAAACATTCGTAAGATCTATGACCTAACTTTCCACATGCGTAACATTTGGTATTGACAGAACTTAACCTAGGATGTTTATTGTCTTGTGTAGTACTTGCAACAGTTTTTGTTATCTCTTGGTAACTCCGCTTACGATAGGAAAACGCTATTAGTTCACGTTGCATCTTACTACGGGTAATTATTTCTTCGGAAAAAATATTGCGATGCAATCGTGGCTCAATTTGTCCCATGTGCGCAAGTATTAAAGAAACCATCATTACTTCTTTGTCCTTATTACCCCATCGCGACATGAGTAAAGTGAATAAACGGCTTGCATATGCAGCAAGACATTCACCTTCTTGCGGTTTACCACTAATCATCTTTAATATCGTTGCTGCACATGTTTCTAATGCATCAAAACGAGAAAGAAAAATTTCTTTGAATTCTATCCACTTCATATTAGGAAAAGCTATCTGAGAAAACCATGATGCAGCAGAACCTTTCATGGTCTTACTAAGTATAAGCACTAATTTACTTCCCTGTATGTCTGTACGTTCCGATAAGCAGATGTCCACTGTTGCTAGCCAAGCCCGGGCGTCAGTGTCTGCATCTTCTGGGTGAAACTTAGGCAGTGTGATGCTCTTATCCTCTGTATTCGGTGTCTTGGTTAACGTCTCCATGAATAATCTTATGCTGTTTTGTTGCGCTTCGAATAACGCGCGCCATCCGTCATTTATCGTAGCCAGTTCACTCACGCTTTGTGCCTGCACCGATCCCACTTCTGATGTCGGAGAAGCATTGTCATCGCTGACATTGTCATTAGTGGTTGCAGGTTTAGTGGGCGTCATGAGGGTAGAATGCGAGCACAAAACACAATAATCACAATAAACACTATTTTAATTTAGATTATAACAATAGTTTTGTCTGTTTCACAATAACGCAAAAGAAAGTCGATAATTAGGACTGAGCAGCGGGTTCAGGGCACCAATCTTACAGTTATTACATAAACGATCCAACTCGACCGATTTTCTAATGCTCTCTGTTCCCGCCAAAAACTGTTCACCTTTTATACGTAAGATGGCGCCTCGACCCCGCTCGAGGCACGTGCTCTGCTCTGATTGGTTACATAGGAAGTCAAATTCTAGTTTTAAAATTATAATAAAAAAAATAAAATAAAAATTAAATTAAGACTATGAAAAGTAACAAAACTATTTAAATTAATTAAACCTTTTTTTTAAAAGTGAATATAACATAAACAAAAATTAATGTGCGTAACAATCAACTGCAATGCAAGTAACAATCAACTCCTAGCTTCCTCCGACATATATTTATTTTTGTTATCTTTTATAAATATTAAACGTCAAATATTTTATTTATATATTATTATTATTGATTTTATATAAAAAAACCATTGTTAAAAAACCTGAATTTAAAAATGATAACCCGGAATTGAACCGGTGCCCTTTGACTTCATAATTCTATCATTCTTATTTATCCGAGCTACCGATCACATTTTGTATGATATCGAAAATGCGGGTTAGTTTATAACTTTTATTATTGTCTATTATTAATTATTGACGCCATCTTTTAATTGGTTTGCTTGACTTGACTTAGATGGCGCTATATTAAGTCCTCGGAAATGAGAAAATTAACATAATTCATGTGTATTTGAATATAAATATATTATTGTTTCTTAATTATTATTTTAACCATTAAAAACCTTATTGTGTGCCTCTGCAGTGTAAAGTATTCAAGCTTTGAAGGGTTATTTTCATTTAAAAGCAGCGCCATCTAGTTATCAATGGTAGCGTTATGCAAAACCTGTCAGTCAATAGTCGACCTTAAGCTCTCCATGCATTTTTGTCACCCTTAGTACATCAAAGTTGAACTACACGGCCATCTTCTGTTACATGAGCAATAAGAGCTAATTTCGCAGAACATTATCATTGATGTGACATATAGTGTGTCAACTATGTAACAACAACGTTTTTCATTATACCATTTAGTGAAAATGTTAGTTTTAATGTTTACAAGCTCATAATCATAAAAATATATCTCATTTAAGCACCATGTATAAAATACACGTGTCTGTAAGTATTATGACTGTATTCTTTTAGAGGTCTCTAAACTCTAACTCTAATAATAAAAGTATAAAACGCTATGCGATCACAAATCTAGCTATACATTTACATCAATAAAATAAAATTTACACCATTGATACCGCCTAACTGTATGTACACTAGACAAATCACATGTACCACTACTTCTAGGGTTATTATTGACGAGGCGACGTGGCGAGAGGCCGGACCTGCGCTCGCGCATCCCTCAATACATCCGACACCTTTACCCCGAAGGTCCACGCATTAAATAAGAAATATTAACGTCCCGTAATAATTTCAGGCTATGTATTATTATTATTTATATACTTGGACACGACAATATGAAGAACAAATTAATTGCTGAACAAATTGTTATACTGCATTGTATTGTTTTGATTTTGTTATTTTTTTTTAAATTGTATACATTATTTAAGAAATAATATTGAGTTTTGATTCCTCAAAACACCACTAACAATAACAACACCCGTTTCATGATCTTTTGTTGGAATTTCGAATTTTAAATTATTCGCAGTAGGGAATGGTAAATAAAAGGTTTCCAGTAATATTACACTTATATTTTAATTGCATATTTTGTATAAAAATTACAATAGGTACATAAATTGATTTCTATATGATTAATGAAACAAAATTTATATTTACAAAATGGTGAGCTTCAGCTGCATGGCTGCTAACAAAAGCAGAATATTCGGAGTACAAAAAGCACCTTTAATTTTGGTAAGTACAAAACAAAACGGAAGACTAAAAAGGAAGTTTGAAAGCTACTGCTATAAAACCCGTTATCGATTTGATCTAATATACATAATTTTGGTATAAATAAAAGATAAATTAAACAAAATAAATAACCAACACAACCACTTTAGTGTCATAGTAATCTAAACCTAAATTGAACATTCGGTCGAAATTAAAATACAGTTTGTTGTACTTAAAATAGAAAAAAATAATAATCACGTCAATATGAACAACAATAAAAAGTTGTCATCGAAATATTAACACCTGTGTTATAAAATACACAAAAAGGCAAACGGCGTTGATAAATCATCTTGTATATTTAAATTGTTGGCATCCGCCAAAAGGTATAAAAACCTATTTTGATCTAATCGTGAATAAGCCTTGATAATCATGAGCTTGTAAAAATACTGATCAATACTTAAAACTAAACACTGATTCTTATTAACATTTTAGCACTACAATCAAAGCTATTATTTCCTATTTAAGACTATTCCAATGAACATTTTCGCTGCCATAACTTTAAGCATTTAACACCAGGTTTCTGAAAGTCTTGTCAACACTAAATTTAACTAATCTCTTGTCAAGTCATCTGATTGTTTGTTGATAATTCAGTCTACCAATCAGAAGACTTGACAAGAGATTAAATTGATTTTAACATTGATCGCGGCCTTTCGGAAACCGGGTGCAAGCATTCTATAAAATGTACGGAACTATATTAACATGCTATATATTATTGCGTTTCACACTGTTATTAGTGTATAATTTTAAAATAACCAAATTAGATAAAGATTTAAAATGTAACATAATTTATATATAAACATTTGATAAAATAATATGGCCATGTTTTCAATCAATTGTACATCAAAGTTGAACTACACGGCCATCTTCTGTTACATGAGCAATAAGAGCTAATTTCGCAGAACATTATCATTGATGTGACATATAGTGTGTCAACTATGTAACAACAACGTTTTTCATTATACCATTTAGTGAAAATGTTAGTTTTAATGTTTACAAGCTCATAATCATAAAAATATATCTCATTTAAGCACCATGTATAAAATACACGTGTCTGTAAGTATTATGACTGTATTCTTTTAGAGGTCTCTAAACTCTAACTCTAATAATAAAAGTATAAAACGCTATGCGATCACAAATCTAGCTATACATTTACATCAATAAAATAAAATTTACACCATTGATACCGCCTAACTGTATGTACACTAGACAAATCACATGTACCACTACTTCTAGGGTTATTATTGACGAGGCGACGTGGCGAGAGGCCGGACCTGCGCTCGCGCATCCCTCAATACATCCGACACCTTTACCCCGAAGGTCCACGCATTAAATAAGAAATATTAACGTCCCGTAATAATTTCAGGCTATGAATCACAGAGTACTACGGAATGCTAAGGTGGGCGCCTTGTCCGCCGTCAGTTGCCGGCCGGCAGTACGGTACGGGACCGCGCGAACGTGCCGTTCGTGTGCCCGTTGGTGAAGCCGTTCTTCAGAGAACCGTTCTTGTATGTTATGTCTTTTATTTCTGTCGTCTCTGGTTGAGGTGATCGGGCGCGAACCTGGAAGACAAGAACCAGTTAAGTAACATAAAAAGCGTCTGTTATCGAAACAAATATATGACACCATGGAAGCCTTACATACCTTGGGTTTGGAGTAGGACTGGTTGTAGAAGTCTTTGAAAAGGAAGAAGAACATGACAGCGTGCATGCCTATCCACCAGACGAATGCGCGAGGGTAGTCGCATTCGATGAATAACAGCTGGAATGCGTGCACCATAATGCCAACGAATTGAACCTGAAAGTAGCATGATATTTGATTACATCAGCTGACACATTAAGGAGCAATTAACACTACTTATAATAGTCCGGTACTTAAGATAAATTGACATTCCTCTAATAGTCATATTCACAAGTATCAAGTGTTAGAGACAGTTCTAAAATTAGATAAGGTTGATTAATCGAAATCATACCATTTGTAAAGTAGTGAGGTACTTCTTCCACCACAGGTATTTCCTCATCTGGGGTCCCATGGCTGCCAGCATGTAGTAGGTGTACATAATTATATGTACGAAGGTGTTGAGCAAGCCGAAGAAGGTGGAATGACCGCCCGGCGTGAACTTGACGCCGAACCACACTGACATCGGCATCACGCCGTGGTGGATCACGTGTAGTGTTGATACATGGTCAAACTTCTTTCTTAGCACAAAGAAGAACTAGAAAGTAAAAAGTGTTAATTTAGTTAGATATCTTTATTATAAATGGCAAATAAGTGGGACAGTTAAAAAATCAAAATGCTGCCTAATACATTTTCAATATTAGAAGCCAAAAGAACATCCTAATTAACTGATTGGCAGAGAATGGCATGGACATTTTGTCCACCTACCCATGTATGTAGTACATAAAGGGCATTAAATAAATAACAAAGTTCTTGAACATAAAGGTATAAGAATATTGCAGATTTTTACAATATTGACAGTCCCCTGCACAAACCTTTTTGTGACAGTACAGAGATATGATATCGAATATTACCAAACGTGTGTTATCACATACCACACGATGATAACGTTACCTACGTTAATATTGAGTTCATTTCAAGTACCTAGCTAAAATATTGCTAAAATCAATATGAATTGCGAAACATTTTAGCAATACAAAATTCATGACAAGACTGTAGAATTGACGTGGTATCTATTGAAACTTACCGTATCAAAGAATTCAGTGAACTTGGAAAAATAGTACCACCAACATGCGTGAACCATCTGAAAATTGCATAAATAATAAAAATACATTCTAAACTATTTTTGTTAAACTTCAAGTTGTTATTATTTTTGAGACGAAAGGAATATAATGTACTTTTACTTTATTTCGATATAACTTATGGGAAAAACAAAAAAAGCAATTAAACTATATCTATTTAAGCAAGCACTCTATGTATAGTACGTGGGTATGTCTAGTCTAATTGTTATAATTATAATATACGTTGTATTAGGTAAGTGTTATCAATACTTGATAGACATGCGTCATGGATCGTGATGGAAAATGATAATGATGAATCTGAAAATTACTGATTAATTGATGTTAATTTAATGGGCGTGGTGGTGACGATGATGATGATTTCAACGAATACTTAACTAAACAGCTACTATTTAGGCAAAAGCGAAATTGCTTTGCACAACGAGGGTGGACGCGGTCAAATTCAAACGTGGTTAATTTTGTAGATACCTTGGAAATGTTTTAGTGCTAATGTTCCAGAAGTATGATCCAATGTGAATAGGGGAAAAGAGATAAGAGAATAAGAACTCATAAATGACTCAAGTAATAAAAACAAGGCGTAATGAATGTACATGTAGGTAATTCAAAGGCAGATTTCACACAGATATTTGTTGTGGTGTAATCAAATACGGTACAGTGTAGCTTTGGGGAGTTGGAACTAATGTAATAAATGGAAGTGATAATTCACCCTCATTGTTTGTGGATGTTTGGAGTGGTCGACCGGCTGACATTGAAAGTTATACCTGCCTGTGAACCAGCCAGCAGCTCCGATCTGAAACAACATGCCGACACCAGGCCCTTATATATACAATTCGCACATCACCGTATGTCGCGCTTCAGTACGCTGTTCAGTACTGTTCAGATGTTAATGCATACATGGATTAGCGTAACAAAGTTGCACATACTTAGTTGATACTTTACAATGTTACAATTACAAGTATCTAATTATATGTTAGTAGCAGTACAATCCAAGTACGTAATCATTTGGATACTTATTTCTATATTATATCCTATCTTATAATTATTACCATCTGCACCTTGTAGCTACTTTTATAACATACTGCTGCATTGCTACATAAACATGAAGATGACACTATATACAGTGAGCAAGGGTTAGTTATCTTTGCTCTGAATCCAATGCCCGTAGCGTCGTCGTCAACGCTTGTGCATCACTTACTCTAATAGCTTTGGGATTTTCTGTGTAGTCCACAGGTTGGCATCTAAAGCTGTAATGATTCAGCCAGCCCCCCATCATACTCTGAGTATCGCATGACAAAAAAACAAAAATATTCATATCTGCATAGTACAACATAAAATAGGTATCTGAATTTTCAATGTAACCTGATTCAATGTTTCGTCTCTAAGTAGCTTTAATGAAGGCATCAAATCATTTCTCTATCAACAAGCAGTTAATTTAAAGTTATTTGAGTGTCTGAAAACTATGAAACTGTTTCAATTTCCATGTTAGGTAAATTATCAAATATTTAAACATTACTATCATTATTATCTATCTGATTAGGTTTTGATGATAACATTTTTTCATTGGAATCACATTCTAAGTTCTTAATTATAATCATTCCTCATAAAAAAAAAACATGTTGTCTATTGCTACTTCTACATGTTACCTGTTTGTATGTCAACTGTCAACACTATAACGTTGGAATTCTCTAATACACAACTTACAAAGCTAATGAAATATCGTAGAAATAGATATTTACCATACATCTGAAATACACACAGTTAAAAAATGATCAAACTTATAAAACACAAGTGTCAGTGCTCATTACTAAAAACTTAGTGCAGTAAAATACAGTTGCAGTCACAGCACACAGTTGCAGCTTTTAATTATAAAGTGTAATTTATGTTAAAGCAAAACCAAGAAAACATTAAATTATAAATCAAATTATTACATAGTAATGAAAGTACTATATAAAATACTTGCTTTTATTAAACTATAAATAAAAAGTATCATGTCATAAAACCTCTTTTACAAATAGTTTTTAATTAAAAGTAAATCTTACCTCGTAAAACAGCCACGCACTGAATATTACTTGTAAGAAGTTATATAATATTAGAACATTTTTTAGTTCATAAGGTTTTCTATTCTCCATAAATTTTGGTCCTAAAACCTGAAAAATATAACATAATTATTAATTTTCGGGAGGGACCTTAAAATAATTACGAATGGTTGATAGAAAACATAAATTAAATACCTTGACTAGATAGACATAGCTTAGACATATTAATAATGTAGGGAATGGGGAACTCATCAGGAACCATGGATTTGTCCTAGGATCTGAAAAAAAAACAAATATTACTTTAATTTTATTTTTACATAGAATTTAAATAGAAACATATTTTAGGAGTGTATCCCTACAATATCATTGAAATCTCCTTCCCGAATTTATTATACTGTGTATGTACAGTAAATAATATGAACATAGACAAATTTGTTTCAGTATTAAAATCTATTTTAGTGGATGAGTTAATTGTTGTGATTGGACAAAAGGTGCATAGAGTAAAAGCTCAGCTGTTTAGTGGGTCATCTAAAAATACTTGTCTGTTACAACTGGAAGTGTGTTGGCAGTGTTCTGAGATATGATCAGTATCATGAGATAAATTTGTCACGCTAGTCATCCTTACAGATATGGAACATTTTATAAGCAACTATGTTTATTTGATCATATTAAGTTTACAATATCAAATTTGTTTATTTTTATACCTTTTACCCGTTTTAAAAGTTCACTTTAAATATGTCTGTGATATTTATTTTGTCAAATTTTTGTAACATATTGTTTATTTTTAAAGTTACATGAAACATAATGTGTTGTTTTTATTATATTATATAAAGTTATTTTAATTTTAATTACACTATATTATTTTAAAATTTGCAATAGGAAAGTTAAAAAAAAACAACGAAGGAATTAGTCCTTCGTTGGTATTTAATCAGATTTTACTTAGGATGTGAAATAAATTCCAATAAAAAACTTACCTCCATATTTGTCCATATAATATTGAAAATCGCTTATATACTGTAGCATTATTCCTAGTGCCATTGTGTCGATATCTGAAAACAAATTTTAAAATAATTAACAATTGAATATCCCCCTAAACGTCAAGACTGTTCCGCGATTATGTCAAGTGTTTGGTGATATCTTAGTACTGACCGAATAATTAGAACCACTATACGCTTGTCAATTTATTATTTACGAAAACTGTTTAGTTATTATTTAGCTAGTAATATACAACAAATTATTTTTCATTTCATTGAAATGAAAATAGGTTAAGCAGGCTTTGGCGCACTGACAGACGGTAGCAGCGTTGCAGGAACAGGAATGGGAAAACCATCCAAAATAAACTCAACAGATGGCGTCGTAAAAGTTATAAGAATATTACTATGTAGAACAATAATTATTTCAATAATAATTTTATTATGGAATACATCTTAAATGGTACTTATTTTAATGAAGGATAAGGTTTAAATTCGTATTTTTGAAAATTGCCTGTTATTGTAAATATAATTAGTAGAGACGATAGAGACACGTTTTAATAGGTCCCTAAGTACCTATACAAAGGGACACGCTTTTGATAGTATTCAAACAATTATAGTTGCTTTCCAATATTTAATATTAAAGAAATATAAATTAAAAAATAGAAGAAATGAACCCCTAAGGGCATGATGTGTCAAAAAGTTACAAACGGAACGCAACTCGATGGTAGACATAGGAATTGTCAACCCAATAGTAACCCGTCAACAGCGACAAATCTAAATAGGAGGGACATTTTAAAAAATGGATCAGAAAGAAGACTCGTAGTTTTTTATTTGATTACTATTCCTATTCTCTATATTGATTTAGGTGTCATAAACCCATCCGGAATCTTTGATTGATTGAGAATATTATGTAGGTGAACAATTTTAATGTAAAAAATATGTCACGTGTATTGTAAAATGTTCCACCACTATTAAAATTCATTGCTCGTATGTACCGATGCGTGGCGGAGTCTCCACTGCAAAAACTGAACGTATGAATTTGAGGATACTTTTCTAGTTAAAAAAATTTTTTTAAACTGGTTATACATATTATACATTACACATAAATGTATAAATATGACATTTAGCGTTGTACAGTCAAAACCTGTAGGTAGAAAAACTACATCAACCTACTCACCTACCTACTAGAGTTGGGTATGTGCCTGTGTAGGTAATAGCTATATTCGTATGCAATTGGCCAATCGGTATGTTCCAGGTTAATTAGTCTATTACCTATCTATACACGGATAGTCCTACATTACAGGGTCAAGGTCAAGGTCAAGGTCACATTACATTTTCAAAATTATTTGTGTATTCAGATGGGTATTCGTGAGGTGGTCCACATTAATTTAATATTAAGAACCTACGTGACGTAAAATAGCTAAACAATAGACCGTTAAATAACTTACGTAATAGTACTGTGATGTGCCTTCCCTACTAGTAGAGGTATGAATCTCAACATTCACGATAATAGTTGCGTCAGTTGCTAACTAATAGCAGATTGATGAACTTTTTACGATAGATAGGTAACTCATTGCAAATGTAATGCTTACTCAATTCGTAGGAACGTTACCTTAGCAGTGTACTAATTCCTAAATCTAAGCATGGGTTGCTTATTGCAAAATATCGGTGTCTAAAAATTTTTGAGTGGGTAAGCAATAAGTATAGATAGATTCCCGATATAAATTTAGATAGTAGTGAACTCATTCTAGTCCCTTGTATGAAAATATATCAGGCTTATCTCTGGCTTATCGTTCTATCACCCACTCAACTTTCTTAAAATATCTAGGAAGGTAGGTCTATACCTATGTAACTAAAAAAACTAGAAGTGTCCAACAAATAAACACCTTTAGGTACTTAATCGACTTAAAAATGTCAGTAGCATTTTAATTGAGAAAACAATTGAAATATTTGTTTTCAGTTTGATTTTGAAGTATTTTATTCCTCTACTTGTAGCTACATACCTTATACTAGTTTCAATTTTCCGAGGCAATTTTGGTCTTCCGTTCGCTTAGCGTATCTGAAACAAGAAATTAATAAATACATTAATACCTATCCGAGCACATGTAAACGAAAATTGTAGATAAATAGTTTCCAAATATGCACATAAGATATCAGACAGTTTAAATAATAACGTTGTTTAAATATATAAATACCTAGGTAGTATGTACAGGAGTTTTCTTGAGAGCTACGTATAACGTTTAATATTCATATCTTTATAGATAGCGTTCGTGATGGTTGCTATGCCAGTTGGCTGCAGGCAACATACATATGTGTTTACTAGCCAACCAGTTTAACTCGATAACCCCCTACAATTGGCTCGGGCCCTGATAAAATTACATTAAGAATCTTTCGTTCTTAGCTTACGTAACATTCACATTTAAATGGTTGATCATTATTTTTAACGGTACTTATGAGCTAGTCAAGCAACAAAATAAATAACATTACTTTAAATAGGTAGCTACAGTAATATAATAAGGTACATGGTCAAACTACGATTTACCAGAGTTTCAGGAACATGAAAGTGATTCATCATTTAATTTACATCGTAATGTTCGAACACTGCAATGTCAATGAATGACGTTATTCATTGTTTCAAGGAATCTCGATGGTCAATATCGTGCAATTAACGGTTACATGTTGTTAGCAGTTACAGTATCTATGGCGTGTTCACGTTTAGTACATACAAAACTACAAAACGTAATGCTTATTGTACCAAATCACGTTGTGTAGCGACCTTCGTATTATGATAGTCATGTGGAGCTCGTTTCGTTCTAGTAAAGATTTGTTGCACATTAGGTACACAGGCTTGTATATTCAGGTGATATTTTTAGTGACCTAGTTTATGTGTCTACACCATTCGTAGTGATAAGATATCAAGTTTAAAACTATACGTATGGCGGGAGGTGTAGCCGACGTGAAATCATGAGATTGTCGTCATTCCGAGTCATTTCATAGAGATAACATAAGTATTATCTGAGTACGAATACGTGGCATTTCACAATAAATGTAAGGTAGCATTTAAAGTTGTAATGTTAATAAACTTGTGAGGATTAATTAATATTGTTATAAGTTGTAAGATGAAGGTGTAGGTACAACTGGCCATTAAGATTTTGTAGTTTTGCAAAAAGTAGGATGAAATAATATGTGTAGCAGATCTAGATGGCCATGCTGCAAATTTACCTACATTTGTAAATGCATCGGGCTGGTAATTTTGTCTTTGAAATTTATAAGTTTAGGTGTATACTTTAACCTCGTAGTTACCTCCAAGTTAGTTCACGGACAATCCTACCTAGATTACACAGGCATAAACATTTCTAAACCTAAAACCATGTGGTAAGAAACCAAATAAGAACGGCCTACATTTCTTAAATTTGCAGTTTGGCTAATTACACCTTCCACAAGTGAATGACAGGCACGTAGCTCCACGGTAGCGTAAATATTATAATAGCAATAAAAATATATGTTTGGTGTCGAAACTGCAATGCGTAATGAAATGACATTGATCATACAACTGGAAAATTTGGTTAGCTATAGCGAATTGATGCAATAAGTGGGTCGGGAGCTATTGGACGTGCGAATTCAATGTTGACTATAGTGATAGACTATACCTACCTTATTCACGTTTTGGGTTCTTTTGTATAAGTATCTATTTAAGTATATAGTATCTCTGGTCTTATGGGAATGTGCAAAGACATCATGTTACAGCGTTGAACAAGATCGATCTAATGCAAGTGTAATACCACAGCGTATAAATGTAGTAAGAAGTCTAAACAACAAAATATTTCGTGTTATTCAACTATTGCGTTAATCTCGACATTGAACTGTAGAAGTTTTTGTAGGTAGTTATTTATAGTAAACAAAATGCATTGAAGCGTAGAGATAGCGTAACATCAGAGTCTAGTGCTAACGTTATGTACCTACTTACCTCACGAATGTGATGTAACTGGCTTCAAGTTACCCGACGACCATAAGCTATGATTTGAAACAGAGAAATCATTGAACCTTACAATACTATTTTCACAGTAGGTACCTTTAAATCAACAATATTTTATTATATAAAAAAAATGCAAGTGGCTAATTATCGTACGCCGCTCATGTAGAGGTGTGGATTATTGACATCTTATAGTGTATGTACTAAGTATTTATTTTCCGCACCTAAGTACAACAATTCTATCCTTTTCCGCTGTTTTATCAGTTAAATATAAGATTCAAATATATAAATAAAGAGGTATAAGGTAGGACTACGAATTCTTTCTATGGTAAGTTTTAGTTACATTCTGGTGCAACCTACATATGTAGGTAGAGCGTCAGGTTGTTATGAACTTTGATCTGATTACAGTTATCTACATCAAACAGATAGGTAGGTGGATATATTTGTGTATGTATGTATATGTCATCGTACGTTTAATATAAGTATTCTGTCAACAGACAGTACAGTTGTATTTGATTTTGAAATATTTTTAAAACGTATTTCACCAATTTTATTTATTTAATATTACACTACTTACATACATATTTTGAAATCCACATTTCAAAGATGTTGTGGTAGTCTGCATGACTCTTTAGTTTTACTTATCTAAGAACAAACACTATTCATATCAGTGTGAGATATCTTTTATCTCACGTATCAAGTACCTAACTATAAGTAATTAGACAGCAATAAAATTAATTATTTTCTGATTTATTCGTGTAAATCACTTTGTTCTGTGATAAAATCATTAAAATCAATTTTCCAATAATCCGTGTTAATACGTTTAAATAGAGTGATTAAACGGATAATTACATAGTACAGGCAATATGATATTTTGATAAGGCTATATAATAAGAATTGTGTAAGCAGTCGGTAGTGTTGTAAGAAGAATGCGTTCGTTGCAACACATGCGACGCTCCACAACTCGTACAGAGCAAGTTGCAGCAGATCGCCGGTGACGGCCGAAGCTGTTTGTTCATGTACCAATTGGCTGTTGCCCTCGACTTGATTTAAATAAAGAATTATGAACAAAATATAGAAACTAAAACAAAATTGAAATAAAATAACCTTAGTATTATGGACTACCCCCTCCAGGCTGACCGTTGTTTATAAATTTTGGCAATGTAATTCGATTGCAATCAATTTGTACTCACTCAACAATTTATCGGTGAAGGTCACATATCCAAAATCAAGGTTGTGTCTATGAATGAACGATTGTTACATCTAGCAGTGAATGGTTTTCAACCTGCTTTGGCTTAGGCTTAGACTAACAGCACGTTGAAACGAATGATCATATATTAGGTAAAGATTCGAAGTCGCAGAAGATCATCTTATTAGAATAGTGGTAATATAATTTGTTGTTGTCATTAGACGGAGCAATCGCCTCGTGCCTAAGTGGGTCATTGGCTGCACGTCGAGTTATGTAATACTAGCAGTGGCACCGCGAGGCACTCGCAAGTGCACACTGCTACAAACCTCTCCTTATCATGAGGACATTCGCTATTTCAATCGTACTCAGGTACATAAAATAAGAAATCTTAATCTTTACCGTTAAGCTATTGTTACAGCCTCAGTCTAGTGCATTAGCAACAGTAATGCGGTGCCTATTATGTTCCATTCTAGACGAATCGTTTAACTTAATACGAGGTGTATTCGATGATCTATCTTTGTAAACTTTTACATAACAGTCTGGTAAATATGACTGTAAAAGTAAATTGTATATTACAAACCTTAGTACCGAGATATTATGCAAGTGAAGCTATAATCGTGTTGGGAGTTGGCAAGTTGTTAGTGTGCTTTGTCAGAAATTATGCTGGTTGTTCATTGTCAAACAATATTGAGTCAACTAGTCGAGTAAGAGTTGGGCCTTTGCGTTTGACTGACCACCCAGTGGTTGTGGCCTGAGTGTACCTTACAGGCCGTTGCCGTCATGGTCGTCGCGTGGGAATACACGTACTTAGAATTCTAATTACGTTTACATTCTTACTGTGTTCAGCGTTTAATGTAGTTATTGCGGTGTAAACTGCCTCCGAACTACAAAGAGGCGATACCATAATAGGAATTCTATGAAAGAAGCGAAGATGTCATCAACACAAAGACGTTACCGATCGATTGTGTTCACAAGGAAAATGGATTGTCGCTCACTTACGTTGAGATTACAAGACTGGCGACGTAGCTAAGTGCTAGTGTTGAAACTAATGACTGCACTATTTGTAACTGAGTCCAATAGGCGGCGCAGGCGGCGCTATGTACGACTGCAAGTACTCGCAACAATAATTTGTACTATTAACCAAATTGCTTGCAGGTAATACCGAAAATGGACCTTGTTTTAAATTTTCTTACATTTTCTTTCAAGATTTGTTCCTTTCGTTTACGTGGTGTGACATACTTTATGGTACTGCAGATAATTCTAGCCGCAATAGTGTATTAGCGTGTACTTTACAATTACTCACTAAGCTGGGAAACAATAGTGCGTAGGTGGACGTCAGACGATTGCGGGGAATACCGTATTATTGACATTCTTGTTTCGTCCCGGTGCGTTATACGATCGAGCCAGCCATATTTATGAGATTCAATGAATTTATTATATTATAAAAAAAAACGTTAAAAGAAAAATGACACTTCTTTAATTTATGGCTTTCAAGCGACGTTATTACCTAAAAGGTACGGATTTCAGAGCCGCGGTTTGATTAATTGTACATAATGAAGTACCTACTAAGTTTTACTTTATTGCTTCCGTTTTAATGTTCTTTTATGCAAAATAATTACAACACTCTTTATATATCAATAATTTCGTCTAGGTATATACCTTTTAGACGAATTTATTGCTTAACGTTGGTGCAAACTAACGAGAACAGACTGAAATCTCAAAACCTAAGAGCTACAAGTTACAGTTCTAGATACCGTCAAAGTGAAATATTTTGTAATGTCAGCAATATCACTATTATTTAAAAAAAATGTAGGAATAAGTGTTTGATAAAACACGCGCAATTTATTTCTACTATTGTTAATTAAAACCGTTTGTGAGTATCGAATCAGAATTATTT